CACACATACACACACACACACACACACACACATACATACATACTCACACACACAAACACTCACACATACACATACACATACATACATACACACACACACACACTTACACTCACAGACACAGACACACTCACACATACACAAACATACGCACACGCACACGCACTCACACTCACACATACACATACATACGCACACGCACATGCACATTCACACATACACACACACACACACACACACACACACACACTCACACACACACACACACAAACATACACACACTCACACACACCCACACTCACACACACACACACACACACACATACACACACTCGCATACACACACTCGCACACACACACCCATGAATCCCTGACGAGTCTCGCTGGACTGTCTCCTCGGCAGCGGCAGTGTGGAGGTGGAGTAGAGATCAGGAGCCTTCAGCACACCGACAGCAGCGGCAGAGCCGGACAGCAGGACGGGTGTGAGCGCGCGGGACAGAGGGGCACTGTGGGGGGCCATTAGGGGCGGAGTCAGGCCCAGCAGGGAACTGTGGGAGGAGGTGGAGGTGTGGGTAATGGAGGGAGGAGACTGTAACCCAGACACGCCCACTGCTGTCTGTGAGTGGACGGAGCTGGCTGAAGAAGCGGACTGGGCGTGTCCATTACTGGAGGGGTTCGGGTGAGACTGAAGGCCCGGGACAGACCAAAAGCACGTAATTCACCTATTAATTTCACACCCATTAATCCAATTAATCTTTACATTTCTTATGAATGTATTTCTAAATTTCTAATCTAATCTTTGATCTAACATTAAATCAGTGCGGGTTGTGTAAAGTTTTGCTAAATCTGGACAGTTTTATTTGATATGCAATTGAATCCAGTTAAAAAAATAATGATCTGATTTAGTATTTTTTTAAATGCATTTACTGAATTCTTTAAATACTTCTGCTAATATAGCCATAATGAAAACGTAAAAGCCATTACTGCACTGCAAGTAACTTGAAAGGAAACACATGAGCCACACGGACAGATACAGGCAGGCTACCTGGAATAAAACAAAATCTGCAAATCAAACTGTATGTAAAGTAGAGAGAACGCAATACTATTGAAGCACAGGACAGGCCTCTCTATTACTTCAGAGCAATAAACTGATAGCAGTCACGTTTCGCTCAGCTCTGTTTAGAGTCGCGTCTCATCTAGAGCCGGTTAAACACACGTCTGCTCTGATTGTGTTTCAATTAGCATGTGACAGGAGCATTCCCTCAGCGCATGTTTGACTTTAACCTGACCAGCGGACCGTTAACTAAACCAGCTGCCTTTTACGCTATAGAGCCAAGATGGCTGCTGGACCGAGTCCCAACCACAATAAACATAACGAGGGAGAGAGAGAGCGAGAGAGAGAGAGAGAGAATGTGAGTAAATAGACCATTTCAGGACTAATATTCTGCTGTTGTTCATTTGCATCATGTTTGAAATCGCACAGAACTTCATAAACACAGTAAGAAATGGATCAAACATTACTACAGCAGAGACGCCGAAATCCTGCCGTAACTCCCTGAGCTTAGCATTTATATGACACATTATCCAAATGAGACGAGGTAAACATAAAGATTATATTTCCCCCTC